ATTAAGTTAGAATAGCCCAAGACCGATGAGCTCATTCTCAAGTGAGAATTTAACTTAAAAGTTACGAGTTCACACGAACCTAGTAATTTCTGCACAAATTTATATAAACAATAATTGTATATCAATTATTATTAAAGGCGCAACTAAAATTTATAGTTTATCATACCACAATTTTTTTTACTTGTTGAATTTAAATAAATTATTTATACAAAATAAATATTATTTTTTAACACAAATATAATATTTAAATCATGTTATTGAGTTTAATCGAACTCGTAATTATTACAATGACTTCATCCTCAATTATTTGACTTTATTATTATTGTTGGCAATATAATTTTTTTTTTTTTGATGAATTTGCAGTATATGAAGTTTTCGAACGTATGGCATATTATGGTATATCATCAAACTTGGTAATATATTTAACAGAGAAATTGCATCAAGGCACTGTTAAATCATCAAATAATGTCACAAATTGGGTTGGAACTGTATGGATGACTCCTATATTGGGCGCCTACTTTGCTGATGCTCATCTTGGACGTTATTGGACTTTCTTGATTGCATGTGGCATATATCTATTGGTACGTATCGATAATTTTCGTAGCTAATTTCATATTTTCTAGCAATAAGGACACTTATCTAAACTCAAATATTCCTTTTGTTAAGATGACACTTAGTTTGAGACAGAAGAAGTATATGACTAAAGCCTAGAATTATCTGAATAAGAACAGATTAAAATAGACCGAGTTAATAAATAGATAAATCCTCAATTTGTTAGAAAATAATGTGTTGTAATTTTGTTATACCAAACTTGTTGACTTATTAATGTAAGAATACTCATATCCAATTATTGGGTAAGAAAAAACTCTTATCTTATATATATGTCATCAATATGAAAGATTGACCTAGGACGAATTGTCATGTTCATGTATTTGATTTAAAATAGTATAAAAGTAAGGAAAATGTCAGAAATTATTTATTTTTCTACTTGACAACTTGATGTGACGTGATTACCAAAAAGATTATAAAACAAATAATAATGAAGTCACAACAAAGATATAATAGGACCATTATTACATTTTCTTGTATTTACTTCTTCCGATTTAAAATAATTGATGATCTCGTTTCAAAATAATTAATATTTTACAAAATTAAGAAGATATTTAATTTTTTTTCTCAAATTTGTCCTTGTCATATTTCTAATTCTCATGATAATTATATATCAACTTGAAAAGAAAAAAATTATAACTGGTTTTTAGTCAAAATTCTTCTCTATTTTTTAAGTGAAAAATTTCTTAATTTATGTGCTCGATTTTAAAATATTAATTATTTTGGATCGAAGGGAGCAACATTTGTCAGTTCAGTCTATATTATTGACTCTAGAGTCTATTTTTGGAATTTTGCTTGAATTTTCCACTATATACAAATACCTTTTCTTTGTTTTCTTCTGCAAGTTGCTTTTTCTTCTAAATTATGTTCAAAGTTGGTGTACTTATCTAGAAAATTGGTTCAAATTAATTTGGTTGGTTATAAACTTGCTCTAGTAGAGCCCCCCACCATTTTGGTGGAAGCTAGCAACACATGATGTGAAAATTAGATATATATTATAAGTATTTAAAAGTTGATATTTAAATGAAAAATGATAAAATTGATCAATAATTATCTATCAAGTTTGAGTCTTGAGCTAGTTAATCTCAAAGATTTCTCAACTATAAATTTTTTTGAGAAAAGTATCATTTTACGTATGATGAAAAGAAATTCCTAGACAAGTCTGAAAAGGAATGATTGCGTCGAGCCTATACTATTTGACCTTGTCTCGAGAGCACATTATGAGAGATGTTGAAACGGGCCAATTGATCGGTTATATGCATGCTAATGGATCATGTATATTATTACAGTTCTAAGAAATTTATTCGGTGTCTCGAAATTGTAGTATTTCTATCGATGATTGTGTCAACTTGATTGTTATTGCATGTTAGTACTAATTAAAAATCTTTATTTTCTAACGATATTTTGATAGGAACGTCCATTAGAAATTCACGTTTTTTTTATAATTAACCAAATTTCATTAAAAATTTGTCACAGGGTATGTCACTACTAACACTAGCAGTATCAATCAATGGCCTAAAGCCTCCTCATTGTTCCAATCCAAGTTCAATTGACTGCAAAAAAGCATCCACACTTCAACTAGCTGTGTTCTTTGGTGCACTCTACACCTTAGCCGTCGGCACTGGTGGCACGAAACCCAACATATCGACGATCGGAGCCGATCAATTCGACGAATTTCACCCTAGGGAAAAATCCCAAAAACTTTCATTTTTCAATTGGTGGATGTTCAGCATTTTCCTAGGGACACTCTTTGCTAACACTGTGCTTGTATACATTCAAGACAATGTGGGCTGGTCACTTGGATATGGGCTTCCAACATTGGGCCTTGCTATATCTATAGTGATATTTTTGGCTGGATCATCTTTTTATAGACATAAAAAGCCCAGAGGAAGCCCATTTACAAGAATGGCTAAAGTCATTATTGCTTCATTAAGGAAATGGAAGATTAAAGTCCCTAATGACCCAAAAGAGTTCTATGAACTTGATTTGGGAGAATATACCAAAAATGGAAAAGTTAGAATTGACTCCACTCCTACTTTGAGGTTTGTACATATTATACTTGTAAGACGAAATTTCTGGGAAGTCAAAAGTGTTTATTTTAGAAAGTCAGAGTCCTTTGGCCAAGCTTTAGGGAAAAAAGGAGAATGTTTTTGAGTACTAGCATTTTTGGTAAAAAATACTTTTCAAGATAAGCATATTTTAGAAGCTTGACCAAACAGACTATTAGTTATATACACCAATGGTATACAAAATTTCTGAGAAGTCAAAAGTGTTTATTTTAGAAAGTTCAGTCGTTTGACCAAGCTTTAGGGAAAAAAAGAGAATGTTTTCGAGTACTAGCATTTCCAACGAAAAATACTTTTCAAGATAAGCAGATTTTAGAAGCTTGACCAAACAGATTAGTTCTATACACCAATAGTATACACAAAACACTTTTATACAAATAATGTAATTTAACCAATAATAGCAATATGTTACTTATCTTATTTGTTTAGAACCTAACCCTTACTATAAATAAGTACTGGTATTTTACTTGACACGAAGTTTAAGATATTAATTTAGCGTGCTTATATGATATAGGAGTACTAATGATGATGGAAGAATATACATAAAAAGTGTGTAGTTCAATGAAATTTAATACGATTTCTCGATATGGAAAGAGTGTCATATAAATTGGATATGACGGATTTTCATGTTTGATGCAGGTTTTTGAACAAAGCTTGTGTTAAAGTTGATACAACTAATCCATGGATGTTATGTTCAGTTACACAAGTAGAAGAGACTAAGCAAATGCTAAGGATGATACCAATTTTGATTGCTACATTCATTCCAAGTACAATGTTAGCTCAAATCAATACACTTTTTGTCAAACAAGGCACAACTCTTCAGAGAAACATTGGTAGTTTCAGCATCCCTCCAGCTAGTCTAAGTGGATTCGTTACAATATCGATGCTAGTCTCCGTTGTGTTATATGATCGTTTCTTCATGAAAATTGCCAAAAGATTGACGAAAAATCCAAGAGGTGTAAACATACTTCAGAGGATGGGAATTGGAATGGCTTTCCATATTGTGATCATGTTAGTTGCATCGTTCATTGAGAGGTATAGGCTTAGTGTAGCAAGGGATCATGGACTAGTCGAAAATGGTAAACAAGTACCGTTATCCATTTTGATTTTGTTGCCTCAATTCATTCTTATGGGAACTGCTGATGCATTCTTGGAAGTAGCCAAGATTGAGTTTTTTTATGATCAAGCACCAGAAGGCATGAAGAGTCTTGGAACTTCTTATTCAATGACTAGTCTTGGTGTTGGGAGTTTCATTAGCAGCTTCTTGCTTTCGACAGTTTCTCATATCACCAAGAAGCACGGGAATCACAGAGGATGGATATTAAACAACCTGAATGCATCTCATCTTGACTATTACTACGCGTTCTTCGCGATACTCAACTTATTGAACTTCTTCTTTTTCCTGTTTGTGAGCAAGTTTTATGAATACAAAGCTGAAGTCTCTGATTCACTGTCTGTGTTAAGGCAAGAATTGGAGATCGAATCGAGACATCGGGTGACTAATAGCCAAGAAGCTTCAACCAACACACAGGTGAATGGTTCTACATAGGATTTTAACTAACATATATATTTTGCTCCAAACTTCTTTTCTGTTTTATAGCTAGGTAGTGTACTATATTGTCTATGGCTTGGATCCTCCATAAATTCCGCTGCACCCATGTCAGATCCTCCGAAAATGCAGCCTCACTGTCGGATCATCCGAATATTTTGCATTTTTGGAGGATCTGACACTGATGCACCAGTATTTTTTGAGAATCCGAGCAATATAGCTATACGGGGCAATAGTTTTGTGCACCTCCTTTCTCTTTGTTATCATTTTCACACGATTGTAATGATAATCAGTCAAATATAGTTGTTACGAGATATGCAAAGCCATGCTTATCTTATTGAACAGCATTTTCAATTTCATAGCTGATATCTCTAAATGAAATAGTTCATAATCTGAGTAGAATTTTATGGTCTATTTTCTCTAGAAATTTCGTCTCCAACTCGTATGCTAATATAATAATATTCACTATATACAATAATATGTGGTCAAAATAATGATCTCTCAAGACATACAGAAGATAGCAGAAGTATTTTACATTAGCGCGTTCCACCACGTAGAGTAAAGTACTGATAATGCCTAGTCGAATGAGGAAAAGAAGAAGAAAAAATAGTACACTGCTCTCTCAAGTGACTCGGGGCTTTTTAACTTATCATCCATCCTTTGAAATCCTTCAAATGAATCAATCTTATAGCAGATTCTCTGTAAAAATCCGTCTTACTTCCGTTTTCTTTACCTTTCCTGTTTATTTTTTTTGTACATGTGATATTTTTTTTTTATGATTTGTTGGCATGTTTTCTCTAATATGGCCTCCTTTTTGCTAATTGGAATGTTTTCTTCAAGAAGTGATTAGCAACTTTGTCATTTCTATGACAAACTACCCTCAAGATTGTATTGGGATCTGCTCTATTCCATCTTCCTGTTGTTGGAGGCATAGGTAGTTTCTGTCCTGATCCCACAACTCCCATTCCACTAGCTTCACATGCCACAATGCTGAAATCTTCAACCAATTGCTCAGTTGATTGTCCCATTAAAGCTATCACCCCCTCGACCGTCTCAGCTTCTGTGTCCACAACATCCTCTACTACCAATCCTTCACCACAAGTACAGAACACCCTCTTTAGGCTCTCAAAGTCCTCTTCTATTATCTGATGATCAGCTCTCGAAAAGAGTCTTTTGCTTCCTCCGGCTAGTAGAACCATGAGGTAGGCCTCAAATGAAGCCTTCATCACTTCTTTTAAGGCCAATGGCTGAGCCTTGTCAGTGAGGATCGCGCATAAAAGAGTGAGGTTTTGCTTGAGTGCCCTTAATGCTGGTCGTATACGTGTGCTCTCAACGTCCCTGATATAGAGGTTACCATAGAATACACAGTGAGAATCGAAGAAAATGAGACGATAAGCAGCAACTTCTGATACATGTTGTACAGCTACTTGGATGGCTGAACGCGTGTGATCAAAGTAGGAGCAGCTCCCTATCTGTCTATTCTTGCTGTGACGACTTCTTGGAGTAGGAACAGTTTTCGAGGAGATTGATAAAGTTTTATCAAGGGAATGGAGTTGTAGAAGAAAGTAATGCAAAGTGTTTAGCCTTATATATAGACGTTGTGTCCCTCGGCTCGTTGAAAGGCGGGGATGATTGCCTTCATCTGCTATATGATGGTTTTGTTCATCTGCTCCTACACTGCAAACAGCAAACTTCCACAGTTTGGAAAACCTTGAATCTTGGCTACATCTTGTTAGAGGAGGAAGTGTAGGAATGTAGCTTTGCTTTGACCCTATAAAAGGAACCAAAGACAAAATAACAGATTAACTATTTGAGCACTATAGTTACGAGTTTAGCAGAACCTAGTAACTTTGGCTCAAACTTTGTATATTTGTTAAAACGTTTCATTTAATATGTACTTATTCAAAACTCATAAACTAAAACATATGGCGTTGCCTCGGTCTTGAGGTATGAAATGAAATGAGTTTTAGGAATTGTGTTCTTACCACATGATGTGGCAAAGGTAACATATTCCTTAAACAGATGCTCAAAGCCAACAGCAAGATCCTCTACTAAGTCCTCTGACATGGCCATTGGGATTTCAAAGAAATTGTCCACAGCTTCCTTGGCATGTCTCATTAGATCAACTGCTGATTGTGCATATGGCTCACTTTTGGATTTTGGATTCCATGTCTGCATATCAAAGTTTACTACAGTGTCGGAACCAGGATTTTCACTAAGTAAATTCAAAACATAAAGAAGTAAACACATGAAGAAGCAAAGGGGACCGCGCGCATGACAGAAAAAGACTTACTTCAGTTTCTTTTGCCCTCATTATAATCTCCTTTCCTTTCTTCAACCTTTCTTGAATCCATTTTCTCAGAAGATTCATTATGATTGAATCAGTTTCATAAGGAATCATCTCTGACAATGTGGCTTTGCCTCCATCCTCACATTCATCCGAATCCTCCACTACCATTTGGATTAATACTTTTTCGAGTTTTCCAGCCTTCTGCAATACCGAAACTGTTTGTTTTGTGAGCAAAGTCGCGCCCGTGAGATATTGCTTCAACAAAGTTCCATAGCAAGAATGTAACGCCACAGCTGCTACTCCTGCTGCAATAGGATGCCACTTCTTGAGTACAGGGCTGAAAGTTTCCTTCTCCTTATTTGCTAATTCTTCAGTTTCATAGGCTAACTTAATTAGTGTCTGACTCACTTCTTCCAATTCAAAACTTGCACCATCTATGCTCATTTCTTCCAATATCTATTTTGCACAATAAGAAAGAAAAATAATAATGTTACATCAAAGAAACTTGAAGATAAATAAAACTAAAAGGACGTTGAGAACCATAAGGTCTCAAAATCAAATTCCAACAAAGACAAAAAAACACTAGGTGATTTCTATCCATCTGTCCTAGCCTTGGTGGGCAGAGTTATCTGGTATCTATTACTAGTGGTAGGTGACAGCTATCTCGTGCCTGGACACCATGGTTATAAAAAATAAACGAAAAGGGTTGAAAGCTATGTTTCTCAAACCCTCCAAAAATACTTCAACGCCTCTTTTGGATCCTCTAAAAGTGCATAGCTTTTGAAGGATTCTACCAACACCCGATAATATTCTTAAAGAGTCCGAGCAACATAGGTTGAAAGGAAGGCTAAAATGCTAAAGTTTAACATCAATGACTCAACTTCAAGTAAAATGGAAACTAAGGAATGTGACATGCTATAATGAGGATTGAAATACACTAACCATAATGTAGAAACTCTTTATATCGTCAGTATATATAACTTAAATCTAGAATACTAACCTTAGCAAATGCATCCCTCATGGACGAACGAATAAAGTAACAAACTTTATTTCCATCTGAATCATCCTCCGCGAGTTCATCCCTTTTCTCAAAAACATCAGATGTATATCCCGGAACATCTTCCTCTAATATCTTCATGGCCGCGAAGAATAAAGGAAGATTATTCTCCAACAATCCAGCACTCCCCCTATTGAAACTATCATGATAGTTAACCAATCTTTTCTCCGACCATTCCCTCATTGATATCAACACATTTGCCAACATCTTAACATAAAAAGGCTCCATATCAACTTTCTTAGCATCAGTAGCAACTTCAGTACTCAACATGATCATCGCTGCGCCTAAAAGATCAGGCTCAACCTGGCCAGTGACGATGTACTGCTCGAATAACACCCAAGTGAAACACAAGTTATGAATTGACTTATTGACACCCAAAATCACCCATGTTTTTTTCATCAATTCAAGAAGCTCGTCGACTTCATCAAGAACCATTGTATCGTCTTTTAAGTCGAAAACAGAGGATAACAGAGCAGTATAAATGTGGATATTTAAAGGGAATCCATCAGCCCAATGACAAATATCAGTTGCTGAACCATCACTTGTTCTCCAGGCTAAGGACACTACTGAATTACAAAGTGCTCTCATTGTCTCCGAATTCTTGCCAGTGTCGATGGCTTTCGTTTCAGCTGATCTTATGATCTCTCTGAAGCGTTTAGCGGATGTGTTTGATTTTTCTACTGGAAGTGAAGGGTAAAGGAGAAGGCCTGCTTCAAGGATTCTGAACTGACGTTTTTGCCATTGATGGTATTCGTGAGAATCGTTGAATTCGGATGGTTTAAGATGGCGTAAAAGCTCTAATGGTAAGATTATTGTCTCTGCTCTTCTCCCCATCTGTACAAAATTTCACAAATATTTGATCAGTTTGCCATAGTCTTCAAATCTTGAACTCATCCACATAGAAAAGGTCTTATTTATGAGCCTGTATTGCTCGAACTCTTTAAAAATGTCGCTAACTGTGTGCTTGATTCTCCAACAATAGTGTATTTTTTGATGTTCCGATACATGTGTAGCAACAATTTTGAAGAGTCTGAACAACATAGCTATGGACTAGTACTCTGTACTCCATCCGTATAATCATATTGATCAGACTCTCCAAAAATATTGTCGTATCCTTATCAAACCCTAAAAAAATACACTACTTTTAGAGGATCCTACATACACTCAGTGACATTTTTGAAAAGTCTGAGTAATATATGTTATAATTTATATGAACCTATTTGATTGAGAAAAAAATTAGGTATACTAAGGGTGTGTTCGGTATGGAGTAAAATATTTTCAATTTTTTTCTATAGAAAATATTTTCCTTCGTACCGAACATACCGATTGAGCTCTACAACCTAGTCATTTTCCTTTTTTTTTTGTGTGTGTGTGTGTGTGTTTTTTAAAAATGCATGCAAAAAGACATTAAACATGCAAAATAGACATAATGTACGTACTTGTCCAACAAGAGTTCTCATGAGAGTTTTACGTAGCCTACTATCACTTTGCTCCGACACCCTCATTTGCCGCCTCATAATCTCGGCCGACGTCATCGGTCTCCGTGCCCTCGAATGGGGCACGGTGAATCCCACCTTGGGGCTAGCACCGCCCCCGGGGGACGAGGGGTTGCCTCCATAAGAGCTAGCTCTTCGTGAACGTGACCGTTTCAACATCTTCAACCCTAGCATGGTTTTCACCTTGCTAGTCACGGCCATCCCTACCCCAGATGGCTTCACCGGTGATCCGGGGCTGGTAGATCCAGCCCCGGACCCGCTTCCATCTCCTCCTTCAGATGGATTATGATATGAGATAGCCGTCCTACTCCCAAACCCCGGTGATGACCGACATGCGGTGAAGAATATCTCGTAAGCCGCGTTGCGGAAATGGTCACGATGAAGACCGTCAATATTTTCAAATGGCCAAATAAGGTCAATGTCAACGGACGCAACATCTTCGCCAATAGTATTTGCATGGCGAAGATGTTGTGTCATGGTGGTCGTAGTAGGTGCCATTATATATGAGCTAGCTGCTATGACAAACTACGCGACGGATATGTAAATTTGTCAAATATCCGGCCGTAGAGGGCGGAGAGAGAAGCCGGTGAACATTAGAATTATTATTATTATTTTTCGAGGCGAAGAATGAAAGAAGCGAGAAAGAGAGAAAGAAAAACAAATAGTAGACAAAATAATAGATGGTTATGTGAAACTCTTAATTTGTATTTCTCCGATAAAAACGAAGAACCAAAGGTGGTGAAACAAGAGATAATTAGACACACTCCCAATATTTTTTTAAAAATAGTAAAGAAAAAAAATGATTTATCTTATATTTATTTATTTTCTAGAGGATAATTATTACACACATTTTGTTTCTAATTTGGTTTTTCGCTCGATGTCTGATATCTTTATTACCGTCCAACTAAATCCAAATTCTAGTTGATTAATGTCGATACACATAAGGATGTTATGTACACATGACACAACTAGTTATTGTGCCGAGAAGGAGCAACAAAATTGAAGGCCTTTACAAAGATGGATTTGGGACCCAGACCCAATAATTAACAACTATCTAAAAGGAATACAGATGAGAAAGAACGATTTATGTAAATTATTGAGAAAAATATCTAGTCCTCTCATCTCTTTTCTCCGAGTTCTGCTTTTCATCCCTTTCTTCTACCCATGTTCTTCGATTTCCCTTTTAGTTCTTAAATTCCTTTGTAATTCCAATTACGAGTTAATGAAATATATCTATCAGTTATTTGAGTTTGAATTGTGTTAGCCTAGTTATTGAATTTGTTACAAATTATGACAATAATATTCAGTTTCTTAGTTATTAGTAAAAGTCTAATATTTAATAGTAGGAAGAGTCTACTACTTTATTTTATATGCCTATATATGATTAATGAAACTCAAACTCAAAAGCAAAGTTAGGAATTTATGGGTTCTGAGTTCTGCAATAATTATTTTAAGTGATAATAAGTAGACTTTAAATTTAATATTTATACATATTTAATGAGCTTATTAACACAAACACATTATCTGAGCAAAATTCATAAAATTTTCGATCGAACTCACATGTGGATTATCAACTCTGACTTCGCATAATATATACAATAACATCCAAAATGTAATCCTTTAAGATTATAGAATTTTGTTTATGGGGAGATTTTTTTTCTATATAATTTTATCTCATATTTTCTTCTATATTGTTTTTTTTTCGTTCTTTGATTTATCGTTGTTCAAAATTTACGATTATTAACTATCACACATTGTCATGTTATTTTGATTTCAACAACATATAATGGTGAGTGGTGACAAATATATCACGATCTAAGAAAATTATAAAATGACGTGACAAGTATATTCTCCTTTTAATATGTCAATGATAAATCTTTATAGATGAAGGCATCTAAAAAAATGTATATTTGTCGTCCATTCATTAATTGGCATATGTTCTAAATTGTTTATATTAACTCAACAAATATAAGATATGACAATTAAAAAAAGGAAAAATTATACAGAATAACACACATTTAGCCTATTTTAGATAACGTGGCTATATTTTAAGAAAATTGCGATTCGTGGCTATTTTTCCCAATTCTTGTTATTCCCCTAATTTGTATAATTTGCTTGATTTGTATAAATCCAGAATTGGTATGATTCGGTTCCTGATTGTATAAATCCAGAATTTTGTATATGCTTACCCTAGCTATTTGTATATACTATTTATGAAATATTCACAATAAATTATCATGTTTGGATATTGGCAAGTGTAACACCCCGGAAATCTAATGACCTAAACTAGAGCCTAACATGTGGTCTAGTACCCTAAATAGGATTAACATGAGGATTTGAGTCCTAAAATAACTTTCCTAAGTTTGTACTAAGGTGTTAGTCCCTACACGTCAAGGCATGACCCCCCCAAGGACCAACCAAGGGTCCTTGAGGAGGTCCTTAAATTATTGCAGCCAAAAAGCTGCCTGAAGGCAGTCACCTACGAAAGATTCACCCACGCCTCGTGGGTGGACACACGCCCCGTAGGTGGGGGTCGTGAGTGAAGACTTAGTCTTCCCCCAAACTCCCCCAAAGCTCCAAGTTTCAGTCACAAACCACGCTTGTACAGTACGGTCCGTGGACCAACTCACGCCCGTAGGTGGGGGATCATGAGTGAGGCCTGGACCAAGGCCAAAAGACCAGCCTCAGACCCAACCCACGAGTGACCAGTACGGTCTGTGGATCCATCCACGACCCGTAGGTGGGAGGTCGTGGATGGGGTCTGCAAAAGCTGTCTTGAGCTCGGCCAAGTGAATGGTAGTTTTGTAAATTCTAAATCAATTAATTAAGGGTGGGGACGGTTATTATTAGTTATTTTAGACCTATACAAATACTTCTAAGTCATTAAACTCCACTTAACACTTCATAACTCACAAGACTCAAAACCAACTCTCATCTCCCGAAAATTCTCTCTTTAGGACTCCATTGAAGAACCAAGTCAAGGTCAAGCTAGGGGATCCAAGAACCAACCTTTCTTCTCCAATTTCTTGTGGAAATCAAGATAAGGTATGGATGCTTTTCATCCTTGGGTAGGTATCACCGAAGGAGCCCCTTCAAACTATGTTTTTAAGACTTCAAAACCTAGGGTTTTCAATCTACATCATGGGTCTCCTTCCAAAACAATTTCAATTGTTTAATTATGGTTTATTATGATGATTTATGGTTATTAATGGAGTATTGATGGATTTTTGATGAAAATCTCCTATGGACCCATTGTAACACCCCGTATCCTAGATAGACCAAAATGCAGATTTTGAGAAGTTGCAGGTGCAACCCACGGTTGCCATCCACGGCCCGTAGGTCATACCACGGCCCGTGCTAGTAGTCCGTGGTTCACCACTGCAACCCCTCCCCAAACCTAGCTCTAAAAATAGGCTAAGTCTCGACCCACGGTCCGTAGGTCAGACCACGGTCTGTGGTCTGTGTCCATGGATCGAGTCCCCATTTACCCAACCTTTGATGCAAACGACTGTTTTATTAGGAAAATATTATTTGTACTGGTTTAAGAGTCGCCACTTAATTTTTAAGAAAAATCAAGAAAACTATTGTTTTCAAAAGACTAAAAACAGAAATCTAATGAAAATATTCAAAGGGGTTCGGGGTTCTTATTAGCATTTCGGGAAGGGTTTGAAAGCACCCGAAATGCCCGCTAATACGCGGTTATCCGGCAATTAATTATTTGGCTATAATAATTTTAACTTAGCTTGACTTGCAAAATTGAACTATTTTGTTAGTTAGGACTATTTTAAGGGAGAAAAAGAAAATATTGAAATATTATCTAAGGGAAATATTTTGTAAACTTATTTTTTAAGTCAAGTAAAAGACGAATAATTTAGTTAAGTGATTAATTCAAAATGGGTGTCTTTTGGGGATTTGAATTTTTAAAACCTTAAAATCGATAGCAATTATTAACAAATAAACAAACACAATAAATAAAAAGAGAGACTTAAACCCAAGTCTGATTTTCCTGTCCGCCTGGGCCAGTACTTGGGGCTGCTTTTAGTTTTGGGCCTTTGGCCCATTTAAGTCATTTATACCTGTCCTATTCTAACGTAATAGAAATATTTCTATTTGGGCCTTAGGCCCAATTCTTCCACCTGTCCTAAATTCTAACAAGATAATAATAAGCAAGACGAGGGGATTAGGCCTAAAGTAACAAAAATACAATTTTTGGAATTTGGGACTTTTAGGCCCATTTTCCACTATACTAGTGTATACGATCCCGTAAACCTGTTCCAAACACATGTACGCCGAATTCATAGACTTATTCTTCGGTTCCACTTGCCGGCTGACTCGAAAGGAAAGATTTGAGCCTTTATGGCTCTCTCGAAATGCAAGGGAAGAACATGTGGAGTTCAAATGACTCAATCCGAGGGAGCTCATGCAAGAAAGATGATAAGGATTAGAAAATAAAATAAAATTAGGGAGCAATTAATAACTGACTAACTATTGGCTTCTAAAAATAAAATGGAACAAAGAGAAGTGACATAAACAGATTTTAGAGTCATTTTTTAAAGGGAAACAAACATGCATTAATTGATTATACATTGAAAGATAACAATTATATGATAACGAACTAGATGTAAACTAATCACACGAACTATATTTTTTTTTTTATTGAGAGCCCAATTCTAACATATTAATTTAAAAATAAGCAAGACACATTAAACACCCAATTGTAACAGTAAACAAAACTATTAGGCAATATCTAAGATTTTTAAGTAAACACACATAACACAAGAAACTTATCAAGGACATTCAAAGAACAAGACCATTTTATATAAATAAACAAAAATCTACCAAATGATGCTTACTGATTTCTAGCATGTAACAAGACCAACCATTTTTCCAAAGCAAAAAAAAAAAATGTTATTCACACAGTAATACACCATCAAATTGCTAAAATAAGCTCATTTCATTTATAAACACTATTGCCACAATAGGGAACACATATACAATGTTTGTAAGAAATTTGTAATCATGAACACTTGGTGTAAACAAATCAATTTTAGCAAAGTACTAAAATGAGAACATATACTACACTAGACACAATTACGAGGATTCGACCTTCGAACCAAAAATAATCACAAAGAGAGGTAGCATATTTTGCAAATAAGAAAAAAATGAGTTCACATACATCAATATATAATTTATCAACACAACTTAGCAGATTCTGACTTATATGAACAACAGACAGTTTAAATCATGAAGCAAAAATGAAACAGTAAAGGGGAAAAACACAAAATTGAAACCAAGATCACCTAAGCTTTAACTTAAAAGAAATGGAAAAGATAGCATCTGGTTGACACAATCTCATGGAGGCATAAATGTGTTATTGGAAAACAACTAATCTGATTTTAACTTGAAAGCAAATCTTTTCCAGATAACACAACCCATTAACCCAATCTAAATGCAAAGTTCATGCCAAGCAAATGCCTCATGTATCGCAAACTTAAAGAGAACGAAACACATATTCGAAGAAAAGCAATCTTAGAACACCTAAGGCTCCAATAGGCGTTAACCGCTTATAACGTTGAATTAAGCATGTGAAAGGAAGAA